ATCTACAATCATGAACAAATAAATAGTAATTTAAATTTATTGAAAAATAGTTTTCTTGTTAAAATATATATATTATAAATAGACAATTGAATTATTCATAATTCCATTAGAAAAACTAGAAGATCTATTTCGAGAAAATATATTATGTTCAATTCTATCTTTATTAAGTAGTATGCCATACAACAATGTATTTTAATTTTCTATCTAGATAAACTATATTATCATGACATTGACCTGTTCAATTGATTCTTGGTATATATAATATAATTCTTCAACGTCATTTTTTTTTGTCATTTATAATAACAAAATATTTTATGTATGATTGATATAATTACAATAATATCATCAATGCTTACCTCGTGATGATGATGTTGTTGTTGTTTCAAGAAAAGTTGTACCCGTATTAACCACTTCAACAACTGGTAACGATTGACAATCGTACATCTTTTCTTTTTGATATATGTTGTCTTAGAAGAAAATGAACAAAGTAAATGTGATGTATATAAATTAACATTTGAACAAGAAAATTGGAACAAACCAGCGGGTGGTTAGAATATTATTGTGTGTGCTATGACTTGATAAAATCATTATTTTATTTTGTTTTTTTTTTTTTTTTTGTATTGATAAAAGTTTTTCTTTTTTCTTCTTAGTATTGCTCCGCATGTGAAAATCGATAGTCGTTTTGCTATGAAATGATTTCTGTAGAAAATATTGATTTAGTTTTTAATCGTTCATAATTATCAATAGATATATGGTCTTTTTTTTTTGTGATTTGTCAAAAGAAAATTCTATTCTCAAATTTTCTTTTGTTTTTCTAAAGTTAAATAACTTGTTTTTTTAATTTCAATTATCATCAAAGAAAGAAAAAAAAAACAAATATGACAAACTCATTTGACATTTATTAGCATTAACTTTTTCTTTTTCTTTAACGATCTTATACTATTCAAACTTCTTTGACGAGAAGATAAAACTTGAAACATCTAATTTATTATTTTCAACATAAACATAGCGACTCTTATATATATCGACTTATTTTTAGTATCATCAAATTAATGTCAATTGACAAAAAGAAAGAAAGAAAGAAAGAAAAAGAAAGACATTTTTCTTTTTATATGTCACTAGAAGAGTCTCTTGTAATATTTTGAATCTTTAGATTAATGATCATATTTTTAAACAATGTTAATAAGAAAAGTAAATAAGTATTCTTTTTTTAAGATACAGTAAAACTTTTCTATCAAATTGAATACTCTGTTGTTCTCATCAAGCAAATTTTGATGATTTTCAACTGGTTCTGCAAGAACACTGTTTGATTCTGCATGTAAAAACGCATTTTTTCCGGTCCCACGATTAGATGTATTGACATTGTCACTATGAATGTGTCAGTAAAGGTCGTCACTTGAATAACTCACATAATTGGAGTTTTGGAGATAATTATTATGATATTGGTTGAATTCCATAATTTAATACAATGAAAATGAAAATAAGGATAATAAAAAAGAATCAACACAAAAGTGCCATTGTTATAGCACGTATTCAAAACGTTTCATAAGAAAAAAAAAAAAGTTGTGCTATATAAGTTATTGTATTCGTTCTCGTTCTATTTTTTACATACACGTAAATACTTTTTTTAGATATATTTATATCTTTCTTTCTAGCAGATATTTTTCTAAGTATTTTCTCTTTTCTCATGTTGTCATTCGGATATATGTCAAATATATATTATCTATTGTTGATATACTCTGTCACTTATTCTTAATGATAAATATTTCAGTTTTTTGCTTTTGAAATAAACTACTAATACAGAACAACACATTATAGAATTAGCAATCATTTTCTTTACAACAGGTCCTTAATATGTGTCTATTTGATATGACATCTTGATCTAGAGTTTTAAAAAAAAATTTGGTTTGTCACATTGTTACTTAAATAATGGATTTTAAGTTGAAGCGCATATTCTCATTCATATCATTAACATATTGAACTAATGTTTCAAATTGATCTAACTAGAATTATGTAACAAATATTAGAAATAGTAAAAAAAAAAAGAATATTGGAAAAGAGATAAAGAAAAATACAATGTTGTTATTCGTTTGTTTTTCCTTGACATTCTCTTAAATGATCAAATGATTTTGACAGTATTACCACATTATATTAACTATTTTAACCAGACAGAAAAATAATCTATACTTTATCGTATTAAAAAGTATTTACCAGAAAAAGCAAAAAAAAAACTTCACAAACTTGTCAAAAGAAAGAAAAAAACAACCATAAAATGAATTTGAATTCATAAAAAAGACATTGCAATTTGTTCATGACAAAAATAAAAAATATTCAAATTTAATATTAAATGATCTAAAAAAACAAAATTTTCTCATCAACTACTCACTATAATAAAGTTTTCACTAATGATAAATGTTTTAGACTATATGTGTATGTAAATATCAAACATTTGAGGTTCAAATATTGATTAACAAAATAGCAATTTTGTTGTTATGCTACTTTTAGAATATAGTCCAAATAAAGTCGTTTGAGAAGAAGAAGAAGAAGAAGAAAATATGATAATCTTTCACTATTATTTTTCATTATTTCTAACTAATTCTTTTGTCATTTTATCTACAAACTTTATTTTGTTCTAATTTCATATATCATTGTACTATTCTGATAAGATCTAGTATGTAGCGGATATCCATACTGTCAAACAACAAAATTTAGTTTTCCTCTCTTAATGCGTTCTCCACACAAAATAAGCTTTGCTTTTTATGTCGTAGTGTTTTTCTTATTCTTGAAAAATTTATGTAACTCACTAGGGAATCTCTGCAGATGTCAAATCGTTTTTTGGATCGAGATGATGTTCATTTAATGAGTAATAGACAAGTTTAGAATGATTTTGGTTTTCCGGGCCTTTGTTCTCGAAATGAATTATTCAACAAAAAACTGTGGTCTTTATTAGGTCACATGGAAAATCGATTTTCGAGTTTTAACTTCAAACAATGTTCTTAATGAGATTAGTTGCTTATACAAATAATATTTCCTTTATGAAGATGTAAATATATGAACACAAAAAACGACCCAATATGACAAACTTGATCTGATTGTCCAAATATTAGATTTTATGTCAATATTTTAGGTTGACATGTCCTTTTCTATTTGTTATTGAGTAGAGCACACTTGATTGTACCTGAAATCGTGATTTAGATCGTTGACATAGTGTTTTATTTATAGGAAGAAAGCATAAATTAGTTTATGTATTTGTGCTTGAAAGTTATTAATGACACATGTTTGCAATGTTTGTGTAATAGCTTTTTTGCTCTCTTACTTCTATGACATAACGGGTGGTCCAAAAGTTTCTGCACAAAATATTTCTTCATTTTTTGACCGACTATAAGTATGTTAGTAGAAACTTTCAAACAATGGATTAGATTTAGAATTTTATGTTCTTTTAGAATTTATGTTCCGAATTTTTGTAGGACTCATAGTTTAGGAGTTATGAGCGAATCTTTGGAAGGTTCAAAAATAAAGTTTGGACGGAAGCAGTTGAATTAACAGATCCAAATGTGATCGTATGTCTTTTGGAATTGATTTTCTGCTCTTTTTCATCAATCTTTCTCGGCACTATCTTATTTCCGTCGTAAAGACGTCCAATTTAGCTTAGCCCAAGTTCCTTTTCCTTGATTACATCGCGTTTTGAAATTTTTTGAATCAGCATCTTGACAACATACATCCTTCTCAACAATGATATCTCTTATTGAATTTCTTCTATTATCAATTTCTTACACAGCGTCAAGGGCGAGTCCATTCTTTACAAAGTGAGCTAAGAATTGAGCATCTCGCAGCATTTTTTCATAAATAATCAAGCTCTTTTTGACAGTCTAGAAACCAGGGAATTTCGAAAACATCTCTGTGTCTCTTACTAAAACTCTCATTACTCAGAGAAGCCTCATTGTAAATTAATAACCAGGCTATCATTTTGTAGAGAAATGTTTACTCTTTCTTTGGGAATATCTGAAATAAATTTTACGTTTACTTTGGACGTTTTTTTTTGTGTACTGAAACCTGTCCAAACTTTATTTTTAAGCCTTCCAAAGATTCGCTCATAACTCCTAAACTATGAGTCCTACAAAAATTCGGAACATAAATTCTGAATCTAACCTATTGTTTGAAAGTTCCTACTGACATATTTAGTCGGTCGAAAAATGAAGAAACATTTTATGCGGAAACTTTCGAACCACCCGTTATATTTGTCTATGATTTTGTAGAGAATTAAACATTAAAATTAACAGAGACGTTGAAAATCTCATTCATTCTGACGCACTCATTATTTTTAATAATTTACAAAAATGTTAAATTGTCCTGGATTATTCTTCATCAATTCTAATAATTAATCTGATTTTACTGTAGACATTGAAATCCATAAATAACTAAAAGAGAGCTAGACTTTAAACTCGAAAAACAATATATGAATAGATAAATCTTTTTTTAGACTCATTCAAATTAATTTTATGAATTATGACATTTTTAATTCTTGAGATTAGTCGATGACACATATTGTTTCCTAATCTTTTCTATTTTATTTTTTTTTCACATTAATAAAAAACAAAAAAAAACCTAAATAATCATATCTTTTAAGCTGTTAAACTTATCACTAATCTTTATTTGTTGTGACTAATTACAATATGTTTTGTTTTTAAGCAACTTTTCTTACTTCATACAAAAGAACAAAAAAAGAAAAACAAACAAAATAAACGAACATTGCTTGGCTTAAAATGATCACATGACATCGTAGCATCATCGTTAAAGAAAAATAGATAATTCTAGCAATCTACAATAGGTTTTACCGAAAACAAAGAAAGAGCATGTCAAGACAAGAAATGTTGACAAAATTTACAAATCCATGCAAAAAGAAAAAACAGACAAACAACTGACATACACAAACAAACAAACAAAAGAAAAAAAAAAGAAGAATAATAATAAAACTTTTGTGCTTTTTTTTGTTTCTTTTCTTATGATGAATATTTTGATCTTTGTTGATTACCAGCTTCAAAATTAGCATGTGATGAATTAGCTTTATAAAATTTAATCGTAAAATTTATCTCAGGAAAAAGACTACGAAATTTTTCATCAATTGAATTTTGTGCTTGTTCACTCGGATTTGAATTCCATATTTGTACAAGATCTTGTAATCCATCACGTGATTGTACACTTACACCAACAACATCATCACCTTCAATTACCGAAAATTGTTCACCTATTGCAGCTAAACATAATTCTTGCCAGACAGCATTTGTTTTATCTTTCGGACAACGATATGTATAAATACCGCCACTATAAAAAATAAAAAACAACTATTGTTAGAATTTCTTCTTAAATAAATAAAATCTTTTTGTTTGATTATTTTTCATGTGATATAAAATCAGCTTGATTCTTTTAGTAAAAAAAAGAACAAAAGAAGATAATATCAAATGTTTAAGATTTTATAAGTAAAACTAATTTGAAGACACAGTGACGCTCTTCGTACACCTGATAAATGACTTTGTTTCTTTAATATCTTAAGATGAGTTCAAGATATAGAGATGCGATTTTCGCTAAAATGTAGCTCGGTTGTCATAGATGTTTTTGCTAAAAGTTTCAGCTCTCTGAGTCCTATATTTGTTGTACTAGACTAAAAATGAAGTCCTTTGATTTGGCTCAAAATTGTTCGTACGCCTAACGAATGGGGTAAAACACATTGACCTCTCAGTATTTTCTCTTCAACAAAAAAAACATAATTATTTTAATAGAAAGATTCGCCGTGAAGTTCTCTACAAACTGGTCTATTTCACTTTGATTAAATACCTTTCATCATACTTTAAAATGAAATGAATTTGCTTGACAAGATGATCACTACTTTCAAAAAAACAACTATTTTTAACTTTTTTTCTAATTTCTTCTTATCTGTCGTTTCTTAGCAAATTCATTTCATTGTAAAGTATGATGAGAGGTAGTTAATCAAAGTGAAATAGACCAGTTTATAGAGAATTTCACAGCGAATCTTTCTATTAAAATAATTATGTTCTTTTTGTTGAAGAGAAAAAAAGTTACAGAGAAAATACTGAGAGATCAATGTGTTTTACTCCATTTGTTAGATATACGAAGGATCTCATTTTTACTATTTTTAGTCTAACACAATAAATATAAAATTCAGAGAGCTGAAACTTTCAGTAAAAAATCTATGATAACCGAGCTACATTTTGGCGAAAATCGCATCTTTATATCTTGAACTCATCTTGAGATATTAAAGAAACAAGGTCATTTGTAAGGTGTACGAACAATTTTGAGCGCAAGTATATAGTCAAGACTGATATTGTTTGTCAATTAGAAATATTTTTGAAAGTATGAAATAAAAACCTTTTGATATCCTTACATATGGAAGACTTCTCGAAACAGTTGAAGTGATTTATATAATTTCTTAAGCTTCCGCCCGCTGTCTTAAAAAAAAGGTCAATTTTCATTATTATTATCAGAATTAAGATAAATGCATGGGAGGATAGGCGAAGACCTAATCTTTCATAGAAGACTTTTTATTGGACATTTTCTTTTTTTATAATGATTTCTATCATCACTTGCTTGAAAAATATGCTTTTTTTGATTCTCGAAAGAATTTCATTGTAACCAATTGTTATTTTTTGTTTGTTTGAAAGAGCAGATCATAACCGAGTTCCTTTATTTTTTGTAGTGGTGAAATCAGAAAAAAAAAGTTTTAAGAGGATTTCAGTCTTTTAGATCATAGTATTTCTAGAGGAAATTTTTCTGATGAATCGTTCTCCAGAAATTAAGCAAATGGGCAGATCTGAAGCCATTTAATAAGTGAATTTCAATTGTTTGTAGTAGGGCTCAAAGCTTTCTAGCGAAAGGATTAAACCCTCTCGTAGCACCATTAACTTTTGGATAGATCCGACTGCCAGTCGGCTATTTCTATTTTTATAATTATAACAGATGATCGAAAAGTTTTTAGACAAGATGTTTTTTTTCACATTTGACTCGTTAGAAAGTATTTCCAACGAGTGAAACACTATGAATTAGAATGTTCTTTTTGAATTTTGTTTAAGAGTAATGAAAGACCTGAAAATAGTGAATCAACAGATTTTTGTTTATCTCAATAAGTCTAAAAATTATCGGAATCAATCTTTTTATAGGCTAGACACTTCTCTACAAAATATGATATTGAATTAAGATGCCTTGTCGAAAGCTACTTCTAATTTCAAATCGCAATAGTAAAAATATGAAATTTTTTTGGACTTTTCAAAGATTATTTTAGTATTCTCGAACAAAATTTCCTAAGCTCATATTTGAAAAGGATATTCTAATTCATAATTTATAATTCGTGAACAAACATCTTTTTCAATCATCTGTTAGTTATAGTTATCTGATTTTAAATATAAACTATATCTTACTTTTCATTTTCTCTATCTTCCCAAAGTGGTTTTCGATTTTGACGCATCAAATGATAACTAACTCGATTTGATAATCGACTTGGTGCTTAAAATTTACATAACAAAAAAAAAAAAATCAAATGAAAGAAAATATTATTTTATTTTTGTTACCCGGTATATTATTAAAAACACTCCAAAATTCTTGAACAGTTTCAACCTAAATAAATTAATAATTTTTAAAAATATATATATATATTATAAATAAATCTAACAGCAAATATTATTTGAAGACCAGCTTCATAGTCTTCTTTTGTTGTAAATTTTGATTTTTGCGAATCGAGCCAAAAAGTCCACCTTTTCAAAAAAACAAAAACAACAATTCTTTCTTTTTCTAATACAAAAAAAAAACAAAAATAAGATCATACTTCGTAGCAAGTGGTGCTACTTTTTCTTTATTAAGTGATAATGTATGTCGAATTTTTTCTGTTGTTTCTGATACATAATTATCATCATTTAATGTTTCACTCGCTGATGAATATTCGCTATCACCACTACCGTCGATCATCTACAAACGAGCACAAAAAAAAAAGAAGAAAAGAAAGATTCTATGAAATGAAAAAGAAAAAGCAACGAAAGAATGAGCGATTCTATCGTTTGTCAATGTCACCGTTCTCTTTCATTCTTATATATATATATATATATATACACAATTATTTATTCGAAAAATACGACACTGTAATTGTAAGTGTCATTGGTAACGACTGTCAATATGCCACGTGCACTGGACGAGCATTTTGATTTAAAATTTTTAGCTATTGGTGATTCTGGTGTTGGTAAAGTAAGTAATGAAATTGTTTTTTTTTTTGCTTATTCCATTAAATATTCTTTTCTTAATATAGACTTGCTTATTGAATCAATATATTGATGAACAATTTATAAAAACATTAGGAACAACTGTTGGTATTGATATTCGTGATAAAAATATTTTTTATAAATCAAATAAAACAAATAAATCTTATAATATTAGTTTACAATTATGGTAAGAAAATTTATAATTTCTTTAAAAACAATATCATTTATAGAGGACAATGTTTTTTAACAAAACCAATTATCGAAAAGTGCAAGTTTGCTTGCTTTTTTTTTTTTTTCTCTTTCGTTCTTCAAGTTTCGATTAAGAATCAAGTTTCTCTAACATTCTTTTACTTATTCAAAATGCTAAAACAGAAAAAACGAATGTCACCTGTATAAAGTTTTATTGTCAACAATACGGATATCATAAAAAATTCAATCGTTATAAATTGAAAATCTATGAAACATACTAAAGCTAATTGATCAATGAATAAGAATGTCATTGACTCTCGAATTAAAAAGTCGTTGATATAGTCTGATAAAAAGAAAAATACCATAGAATTTATTTTACGTAGGAAGTCCTATGACTAATTAATCGTTTTTTTTTATAAATGCTATAAGAAAACTGACCGGATGTTCCTGAAGGGGCAAAGATAATTTTTGAAAAATCTGAACCGACTTCTTCTCAAACTCAAGAGAATCAAGATATTTATTTAAAAGTTATCGCAAAAAGTGCAGTATCTCGGCATCAATAAATCTAAAGATTCGAACTCTTATCAAAATATTCATTGCTTATTTGGACTTATATAATGCTTATAGTCTTGAGTCAAAAGCGATTTGTCACTTGAATGGTTTCTATAGTTAAATATGACAGCGATCAAAAAAGTGATATTTTTGTTTTCACAACTAATTGAGTCAAGGTCATAGTATTTGATCAAAGAGTATTCATCTATTTCAAAATTATTCATCTAGACTTCTATTTTACTTTTATAAAAAAAATAGGGATACAGCTGGTCAAGAACGATATCGTTGTTTAACAACATCATTTTTTCGTGATGCTATGGGTTTTTTATTAGTATTTGATTTAACAAATGAAACATCATTTCTTAATGTACGTAATTGGATAGGTGAAATTCAATCAAATGCTTATTCAGAAAATGTTGATATGATACTTGTTGGTAATAAATGTGATTTAGACAATGAACGTATTATAACAAAATTACGTGCAATTGAATTTGCACAAGAATATCAAGTTGATTATATTGAAACAAGTGCTTTACAAAATATAAATGTTGCTGAATCAGTTGAATTATTATTAGATTTAGTTATGAATCGTTTAGAAGAAAATGAAAATTTTTCAAAAAAAAATTCATATCTATCAAAAAAACCAATAGAACCAATTAATCTAGGATTCATGGAGAGAAATTTTAGAAGAAAAAAAGATTTATCTTTTTGTTGTAATTATTAAAACATAAAAACAAATAAAAAATTTGTTTTGTTTTTTCTTATCTGAATTTTAATAAATATTGAATTTGATGATTTAACTGACTTTGTATTAATCAATATCATTTAATTGAAATCTTGATTAATCTAAAACATAAAGAAAAATTATTTAAAAGAAATTGATCAAGACACTAATTGGATATCCCTTTTCTCTTTTAAACATTAAAAATCTACATAAACCGGTGAATAGACATGTTTATCAAAATGAACAAAATACTATCTCTCTCGATCAAGATACTAAACAGGTTGCCTTTAAATCTCCCCTTATCTCAATAATATCTAGCTTCAAAAAGAAAACATAATGAGATTAAAACATTATACAATATATTAACTGAATTCAGCAGAAGACAACATAAAAGTCATGAGAATAATTATTCAAACTGTTCTAGAGATTACAATTCATACAAAACGAGAAAAAAAAAATAGATAAATTCTATTAACAATAAGAAAAACAAAAAGGAATGTTCAATCCAAATGAACATGATGTAAATGTGTTGGAATTCTTATATTTGATATTTGTCGACGTGTTGTTAATAAAATTCCACATGTAAATATTAAAAGTATAATTGTTATTAATAAAAGAATAATTGTTGATATAGGTGTAAATAATAGACGATATTTAATACGTAAATACCAAACAGATCCAAGAATTAATGTTATAAAAAATATAAAATATGGTGAAATATAAATTGGTGATGTATCAATAAATGATAATGTATCAAAAGTATTCATATTTCTATGTGTTGTTGATATATCATTATTAACTCGATTAATTGTTGAAAGTCGTCGTGTACTTATTTGACAATGTATTATAGTTTGATCACGTATATTACATGTACGAAGAGTTTCATTATCTTGTAATTCACGACCTTGATAAATAAATCGAACGATTTTATTATTTGTTAATTCATCAGCAAAATATAATCTAAATAAAAAAAGAAATTTCTATGGAAATATAAAGCTAAGAATCATTATTAATGTTTTGATTTATGTTAGATTGCTGATTCCCTATAAACATATTCATCGTCGAAATGAAAAGATTAAGAATACCTATTAATGCTTATGATATTTATTCATCATTTTCTATAGATTAAGTAAAATGTATTCTTAATCATATAAATAATTTATTTACCTTTTAATTTTCGAAATTGTATCATTTGGATTAGCTATTATTGATTTTTGAGTATCATTAAGAAATTTAATAGTAATTCTTAATGATTGATCTTCTTCTTCTTCTTCAATAGTTGTTATCTGAGAAATTATTTCATTAGAATTTATTATATTATTCGATTGATATTGTTGTATTTGATTAGTATTTGATTCTGTTGATATTGATATTTGTTCGTTCATTAATTCATCATTTTCATTTGATCTAAAAGTAAGATATCAAACAAATAAATAAAAAAAAAAGAATATTTATAATTATTATCTATTAATCATACTCAAAATCTGATTCATGTTCTATTAATGTTTCATTAACAGATGATGATGATGATATTATTGGTTCATTTGTTGATGAAACTGAATTGTTTATTTCTAATTGTTGTTCTTCTAGAATTATGTTTTTCCTTTTTTTTTTTGATAAAACAAAAAGATAAATAAATCTAAACTACCATTTCTACGATGTATTCGTCGTTCTATAATAAATAATGTAGTAGGTAAATGAATATAATTCACATGTGATGAAAGCCACGCAAATGATACAATACCGATAAATAGAATGAAACAAAACGCATGGAGAAGATCATCGCCAATACCTTCAATAAATGACATTTTTTTTTTTCTAAAAAAAAATCAATATTACAACTTGATATTTTTCGTAATTAATAATATGAAAAAAAAATAATTAAATGAATTTCGTTTATAGAAATTTAAAATTAGAAATATAATCCATATTCTCAAAAATGAACGTAGTAGGTAGAAAAATATCGACGTGTTTTTGATAAAAGATAGTAACCATTTAGAATCTTTTCGTTCATCGTTCTCCATCTATCGTACGTTAATACAATAGATGTCCGTAGAAGAGTCTATAGGAAAGAATATAATAATATTTTCATTTTACGCTTTTCTATTTTCTGTATGTAATAAAATATTTCTCATGTAGTAAGGCTATGGTCACATGAAGTCAGTGGTGTAATCAAGGATTTTTAGACCGATGGGCAAGGTTTTTATTGACAAGCAAAAATTTTTTGTCTAACAAACATAAAAAAAAACATGCATAAGTTAATGTTGAGGATTCTTCCAATATGCATCTGTGCAGCACACATGAACATTTTCCCTACGAACAACGTCATTTCACATCTTAGTTTTTCCTCTATGCTTTCACACATATGTCATTGAATTTTTCTATGCGTCACTCTATATGTAAGGTGCCGGAAATGCAAAATTGGAGTGGATTTTATTTCTCGTTCGTTTATATACAGTTTGATAGAGCTTGAAAAGCTGATCACGAATATATATTTTTTATTTCGATTCGACCACTCTTTGGCTGAGAAAATCTTAAAAACCTAGAAGGACTAAGAAAATATCATTTTTACGTTGATTTTTTTTTTCTGTAGAAATTGTCAGATTTCAATTCCAGTTATTTTGTGAAGTTTTTGAAAGTTCTATATTCTGAATCAGTATGAAAAACTGAATAGAAAAATGTTATTTGATTAAATGTAGATCTAATAAGACTAAAAAATTTTTATTCGATATAAATAGGTGCATCAGGAAAAAGTATGTATCAGTGAGCATTTTTGTAAACCTATCTAGTTTTTTTTAATAAGAGATAGACGCAATTGTCTTATCTCATCAGAATCGTCAGATCATGGGCTACAAAAGTTACTATTTTTTTTTTGAAAATTTTGTTCTACTGTTGAGAAAATCGAATTTCTTTCGTGTTCGGCGGTAACATGAGGCGAAAGGAAGAAAAATTTATATCGAATAGGAATTTTTTAGTTTTATTAGGTCGAAAGCTAATCCATTAACATTTTTCTACTCAGTTTTTCATGCTGATTCAGAATATAGAACTTTCAAAAATTTCACAAAATAACTGGAATTGAAATCTGACAATTTCTACAGAAAAAAAGAATCAACGTAAAAATGATATTTTCTTAGTCCTTCTAGGTTTTTAAGATTTTCTCAGCCAAAGAGTGGTCGAATCGAAATAAAAAATATATATTCGTGATCAGCTTTCCAAGCTCTATCAAACTGTATATAAACGAACGAGAA